TCAACCACTTTGGAAAGCAGTATGGAGGTTCCTCAAAAGACTCCACATAGAGCTCCCCTATGACCCAGCAATCCCACTTTTGGGCATTTACCCAAATGTTCACAAACAAGACCACACTAAAGCTACCAATACTACTGTTTAAAGAAGGTTATATTTTAAATAGTATCAACCACCACTTGGAATTTTTAATAGAAACAAAAGCCAAAACTACTACTTCAGCCGCAGTTTTCAAAACTTCAAGATGTGTTTGCCAGACTCTTGCAGGATCTGTGTGGAGGAGCAAGTGATGGTTTGAGAGAGAGAACAGGGGGGCTGGGAAGGTGGCTCAGTGGTGGAGCGCTTGCCTTGCATGCATGAGGCCCTGGGTTCAATGCCTCAGCACCACATATGCAAAAAGAAAAAAGCCGGAGGTGGTGCTGTGGCTCAAGTGGTAGAGCACTAGCATTGAGATGAGCTGAGGGACAGCGCCCAGGCCCAGAGTTCAGGCCCCACGACCAGATCCCCATCCCCCCCAAAAAGAGAGAGAACAGGGACAAAGCCGATACACCGACAGGAGGGAGGCCGTTGAGATGGCAGGCATCTGCGAAGAGGTGGGGCATGACTAGGGACAAGACTTCATCTTTTTTTTAAGTATTTTTTATGATCTTTAAATAGTTGTACAAAGGAGTTGCCATTCACCAAAGCAGTTTATGAATACAACGCATCTTGATCAGTGTCACCCCTTTCAACATTCTCACCCACCCTTCCCAATCCCCCTCTTCCCTCAATTTTCTTAATTTCTGGGTTATGTATTGAATTTTTTGCCATCGATCAAAGCAGTTTATGTGTGTGCAATGCATCTTGATCTGTGTCACCACTTCAATGTCTTTACCCCCTTCAGCCCACCCCTCCCTTAGTGTTCTCAATTCTGTGGTATGTACAGTGAATTCTTGCTGCATTCTCTATCCTCTTTCCTTGTCCCTCCCCTCCCCTCCTGCAATTATCTATTTCCTGGTACTTACTTTGTTGTAATAGACTCTATGGAGAGCGCCAATAGTATAATTCTTTTAAAAGACTAAGTCAAAGCTCAAATTTCAGCTTTACCATAGGAGGGAAGGTGCGGAAGACAGGGGGGAGAGGTGACAGAGACCTACGGGGAGCTTCAGTGGCTCCCTCAGCTGGCTTTGGGGCACCTTCCTTACATATAATTAGAGTGTATCAGGTGGAGAAGTGAAAGTCTCACAGTAGCCAGTGTGGATATGAGCTGGAATTCAGAAGCATCGTGCAAATGCAGAGTTGATGGGAAGCAAAGGATACCTTGCAAGGTTTTCTACCCAGACTGCTTCCTTTCCTGGAAACAGCAGTAAGGAGGCCTGCATCCTAAAGTATAAAACTTCACTAGCATTCCAGAGGTTAGATGTAAATGGCCAGTCAGGTAAGATCATGAGTCAACATAATTGATCCTAGCAGATGTCCCAGTTGGAATAAAATTGCATGTTTTACAGTCAGTTTCAGTTAACTCACAAGGACATTTCATCTGATCAGTGTGGTTGAACTCAGAATGTGGCCCTCCTAGAGGAGAGTCTTCTCTGTAGATTGAAGGAGCAGAGGTAGAGAGGGCTCTGTGGTGGAGCCCTTGGAACATCCCAGAAGGAGCAGTTGTTGTGGCTTCATAGAAGAAGGTGGTTTTAACTTACACATCAAAGCATGAAAAGTCTGGTGGAAATGAGGACAGAGATGGTGTCATTGTGCAGCTCTTGCTGCACAGGGGATCCTATTAAAAGTCTGGAACAAGTATGCTCCTGAATTTAGAGCAGGCTTTATTTTTGCCTGTTAATTTCCTGCACTTGTTAAATATTTTACAATAAGCAGTTGTTAGTTTACTCATTTCTTCTGCTAAAAACTTCAAAAAAAACAGCATTGTTAGTAGAGCTTCTGAGTTACACACTCAGCTTTTGGATGACTCCAGCAGAAAGAAGATGATACAGCTCTCGAAGGATGAATTGTATGGTAGGATTTTATAATAGCTCTGGTTTAGATTTTTATCTTGCATTTTTTAACAACTTGTCTTTCTAAACCTGAGCAACCATACATCCAGGCACTGTGCATCTGTTTGAGTTGGTGAGTCTCAGTGAAACCAGTGGGTTAGCTTATTCCAGGAATATTTCATTAGGACAAGAGATTCAAGGTTGCAAGAAAAAGAAAATAGATGTCCATTTTCTGTTCATTTTACAGGGATAGTTTATACATGAGAATATATGAGAGATTTACAAAAGAAATTTAGTATTTTTCCCCAGGAAACAAGCAGAGCTAAGTGATACAAGATAGCCTGTTAGTTTATTCATTTGAACTAAAACTGTATTTTAAACATTGCTCGTGTTCCAAACAGAATTTTGTGGTCAGAATAAAAAGACCTTGGAAATTGGTTTCAGGGAAATACAAGTACATGTGCACACACACACACACACACACACATCTCAGAGTTGCTTTCCACAGGCAGCTGTGGAATCAAATTCACTATTGTTACTGAGGATGTCATATTTTGTGAGAATTTCTCATTTACACATAAATGGGGGGTTCTTTGATAAATAGAACATTTATCACTACTTTCCAGTTAAAGATTCATAGAACATCATTATATAAATGTTTAATATTCTATCTTAAGGATTTCCTTGTTCATAAACAAGTACTTTTCCTAGTTTTACAGGAGAAAACAGTACCTGTTTGACTTCAATTTATTGAGTAGGAAAAGCTCTGCTAGCTACTTCTTAATGATGCCTTCTGGCAGCATCTAAATCTTACCAAGAAAATAATATTACTAGCAACATTTTAGACTTCCCAAAGTGTCTTTCTTGTTATTTTTAATTCAAACAAAATGCTAAGAGCAGGGTTTTATTTTTTAAGTCTTTCAGTTGTCTCTGTCTTCAGCTCTGGGCTGGCTTGTTTAAGCCCTTTCGACCATTTGCATTGTTCTGCGCAATGGCAAGTATGCAGTTTTTGTCTCTTGCTTGGTGTGCTGACAGTCACAGTTTATTGAGGAAAACCATTCCCAGAAGCTGAACTCGGGAGTGGGAGGCAAGCATCCCTTTGTTTACCTAAAACTAGATTTTCCCGGAAACAGAAAAGAATGATTCTCTGTGAGAGTACTATTTCTACCTGGATCCAACAGGTAAAATCTAATATGTAGGAAAGGTCTAATGTTTTCCTCTAGAATAGAAAATTGAGCTTTCTCAAATAGAAAATTGAGCTTTCTCTTAGTATTGAAATCCTGATGGGCTCCTCAACAGCCATAAAGTCTGAGTGGAGTAGGACTAGTAAGTGCAGCAGATCTGCCATGTGACATTGTACCTCTGTCTGTGGTTACAGTAAACATTCAAATATGTGGTGAGAGGGTAGCTCTCATGCTATGTGTTTGTACCACAATAGAGTAAGGTTAGTGAGTTTGTTGTAATCTATTGTAATCTCTCCCTTAACTAAGTAAGGAAAGGAACACAGCTGAATTTTTTTCCATTATGTTCTGATTGTCAGAGCAGAAAGTGAACGTTAGCATGGCTCTGGACACCCATGCCCTGTGGCGCATTCGTGGTAGGTGGTCTGACATGAGTGCTTGATTTATTTAGGTGGGCAGATCCACAGAGAGCCCCATCGACTTTGTCGTCACAGACACCATTTCTGGCAGTCAAAACAATGATGAAGCCCAGATCACACAAAGCACCATATCTCGGTTTGCCTGCAGGATTGTGTGTGACAGAAATGAACCATACACAGCACGGATATTTGCAGCTGGATTTGACTCTTCCAAAAACATATTTCTTGGAGTAAGTACTTTTTAAGTACATGGTTTCAAGAAAAACACTCATTATTAGTTACCATTTAATTGGGAAAACATTTAACTGGGGGTAAACATTTAAGTGGGGGAAACGTTTGTATGATGCCTCTAGATTTTGAGATTTGATTTTTCAGGAGACTGGTATGAAGAGCCGTCATTAAGTCTGAAGATTATTCATTTACTTCTATTAATCATTATCCTTGATGTTTCAATTATATTATGTACAGTAATTTTTTGAAGCATGTGCATATCTAAACATTGTATGTAATATGCTTATGGTGAATTTAAGAGGTTTGTTGCAGAAGGAAAAGTAAATGGCCAAATCTTGATCATTAGGGTTTAAAGGAAAATAGTAGTTGTTTATTCATTGGAAAATATTCCAGTGGTGGAAGTTCCTGTCTAGTAGGTGCAGGGCCTGGGTTCAATCTGCCCATCTTGGCTTTGCACTAGGGAGTGGGAGCAAGAAAAACAAGAGCCAAGATGCTGTTAAGCTCCTGAGGAGAATAGAATGCACATCAATTTTAGCACATATTTTATACTGTCAGAAGAAGGGCTGTTTTGTCCTGTGATTGTTAGCTTTAAACCAAAAATGGCGCATCCTCGCTTTCCTCTGCTCTACCACTGCCCCACATCCTAAGGTGACACCAGAGTGCCCTTGCTGTGAGCATGGCCCTGGCAGGCTCTTTTCTGATCTGTGGTGTGTCCTCCAGGAAAAGGCAGCGAAGTGGACAAACCCTGATGGCCACATGGATGGTCTCACGACCAACGGCGTGCTGGTGATGCACCCCCGGGGGGGCTTCACCGAGGAGTCCCAGCCCGGGGTCTGGCGAGAGATCTCTGTCTGTGGAGACGTGTACACCTTACGTGAAACCAGGTCGGCCCAGCAGCGGGGAAAGCTGGTAAGTGGGTTCCGAGTCACCCTGGAATTCCCCCTGAATCCCCTGTAAGAACAAACTTGAGTTTTGGCATAAAACTTCCAACTAGTTCCAAAAAACTCATAGCAATGCAAGACGAAGTTTTGTGAAAATTTTGAAATAAAAAGTAAATGATGTAGACATTCCAGAACTACAACATAATTAACCCAGTTCTCCTTTAAGTTCTTCATAAGAAAGTAATATAGAATTCACTAAACTGTTACTTGAAATTATTCACATACTTCATTGCCCTGGCATACTACTATTTCCTGATAATCACAACTCCGAACAGTCGAGTGTTAGCCCTTTCTTCTCGAGAGGCTTATTGCAATACCTTAAGTGGGGAGCCTGAGGTTTCTGATCTTGCCAGAGCTCTGTGGCACAGCCACTAAGAGGTTCCTAGAAAATGTTAGGTAGAGTCCAGTACCAAGCAGGAAAAAAACAAGTTTTTTCAGAATTCCCATAAGAAACACAGACGGAAAATAAAACCAGGGAGAACTGTTCAACCTAGTTTACATTCTCTACTGGAGGATTGTGTTAGGTCATTTTGTTACTATTTCTGCTCTTCCACACCATGCCTTATGAGATCAGAGACTGTGCTCCCAAAATCAGGAGTTAAAATCTAAAGCAATCTGTAAGGCCCATTAAAATATCATCGCATTAACTGTCCTGGTACAGTTAGATGTTTTGTATTCATAGCTTTGTACACTAGATAGAGATGTTGTATTGGGTGTTCAGATAAGGAAACTGAGGCTCAGGGAGGTTAGATTATTTTGGCAGTCCTGTTTTCAGTGGGAACAATTGACTCCATGTATCATCTTTGAAATGCTAGTTTTATTTTGAAAGTTAGAATGATCTGACCCATGTTTCTCAGGATCTTGCTGTTAAAAGGTGTGTCTGTCAAACCCATTGTAGGTGGAAAGTGAGACCAATGTCCTGCAGGATGGCTCCCTCATTGACCTGTGTGGGGCCACTCTTCTTTGGAGAACAGCTGATGGCCTTTTTCACACTCCCACCCAGAAACACATCGAAGCCCTCAGGCAGGAGATCAATGCCGCTCGGCCCCAGTGTCCTGTGGGGCTCAACACCCTGGTCTTCCCCAGCATCAACAGGAAAGAGGTAGTAGAGGAGAAGCAGCCTTGGGCGTATCTCAGCTGCGGCCACGTGCACGGCTACCACAACTGGGGCCATCGGAGCGACACCGAGGCCAACGAGAGGGAGTGTCCGATGTGCCGGACTGTGGGCCCCTATGTTCCCCTCTGGCTCGGCTGCGAGGCGGGATTTTACGTAGATGCGGGACCGCCCACGCACGCCTTCACCCCCTGTGGACATGTGTGCTCAGAAAAGTCCGCAAAATACTGGTCTCAGATCCCGCTGCCCCACGGAACTCACGCATTTCACGCTGCCTGCCCCTTCTGTGCCACACAGTTAGTGGGAGAGCAGAACTGCATCAAACTGATTTTCCAAGGCCCCATTGACTGACACTCTGACAGCCACTGACTTTTTTTTGGGGGGGGAAAGACTATTCATATATTGTTGTGGGTTTTTTTTTTTAACTTCAGTGGAACTTACTTAATACACCCATTCATCAAATACTTGGCATTTCGAACAAAGAATTTTCCATAACTCCTTAGTCTGCTCTTTGTTATTTCTGCTTAATGTGGTTTGTCCCTGATCCTCATCTTACATGCCGAACTCTTTCACTGATTAAAATATAGTAGCTCTTAAAAATTCATGAACTGAGGATGGCTATTAGAGCAGTAGGCATGGCCTAGGTACTACAGTACTGCATTTCTCTGTATACTGAATTATTTAAGAGTTAAGGGTGATTAGAAACACGCTTTTACTTTTTAAAACCACTTGTGGGGGTTTCATAAGGATTTTGATTTGGTTTTTTTTTTTTTCCTTAAGAAAGCCAGAATTCTGTGAGCCACTCTGAAGTAGTCACTTTTGTTCACTCACTCTCTGCCATTTGTCACCTTCCCCTGTAGCTTAAGGAGCCCTCTAAGTTTGGAAAATGTTTGCAAATCAAACTAAATTTAAATGTGATCATTAGATATATACAACAGCAAGTGGTACATCCGCAGAGATAATGAGAAATTCCTGATTTTGAGAGCACAAATGAGTGTTTACTAAGGAATAATTAAATCAGAATTTCATATGAGCTCTGCCATCCCTCTCTGTTTAGTTTCATTTCATTTTGGTTAATAATTCGTGGATTCACATTCTCTGAACCCAGTACCAGTAGTAATGCTGCTCCCAGACATGCAGAGAAACTGGCTGAGTTGAAGTTGATCTCTTCACATGGAGCAGGTACTCATTTGTTCATTTAAACTAACACCCTCTTAAATTCACCGTCACAGATTTGAACTACATGTTTAACCTTTGTAAATACGTGTGTAATTTATATGATTCTAATATACTCTATCCATACTTGAATTGATTTTTCCATATTTTGCCTACTGGCAAATATTTTGCCTACTGGCAAATATTTTGCCTACTTTTCAGTCATTCTCACCTATTTGAGTACTCCTTTCCTGAAAGTGGTAAGATATATTATTTTAATTGCTGCTGTATAATTTGACTATTTCAAAAGTTTGAGCCTATCAGTTTTAAAATAGCTTTATTTTCCAGTGGAGATACTGTTTAGGATGAGGTGTTTTGTTCTAAGTTCTGTTTTGGTAATTCTTTAAATGATGTGAAAGTCTTCCTATTGGTTGTTTCTTCTATTCTTCTGTAACTTTAAACCTGCAGACAGAAAAGGATGGGAAAATGTGGTATTGTCTAGAATATGTATATTGTCATCTAATGTGGCCAGAGCCGCTAGTGCTTAGCTTTTGTGGATAAAGTATGTCTTTTTCGGCCTGTGATTCTTGGCTGAATGATGGGGGCACATATTGCCTCACCTTGATAGATGGATAGAGGTGGGTTGAGGGTTCTGGATACCCTATGATTATCTTGGAAGGTAGATGATCTTCTACCTAGAAAGGTTGGATCTCACTTATCAAAATATTTTTCATTATTCTAGGAAGTTACACTCTGATATAATTTCCTATGTCAAGGATCTATGTTTAATAGATCCTCGTACAACATATACCCCCAAACTATGCTATCATCCAACTTAAAAAGTTTCTGATTTGTAGAGGAATCAGATAGTTTACATGCATGTTGAAACTTAGGCAATAAATTCCAAAGCCTTTGGAAGGGGCGGCAGTGCATGGCTGTCTAGGTTCCAGTCAGGACCCCTCCTGTCCTCCTTACCTCAGGAGGGGTGGGAAGGTGACATGTCTGCAGAAGAAAACTGCTTACTTTGGCTACATCCAGTAAGATTCCCTTACGCTTATGACTAATGAGGTAGTTTTTCAGACTTAACTTGTGAGAATAACAACAAAAAAAATTTAAACCTCTAGTAATACTCTGTTACCCAAGTAGAGTAATAGAATTGAGAAAAGATAACTTTCCCAAAGTCACTTTTGTTTTTATGTCTGACTTGTCATCACACTTAAAGGACAAATCGCACCCCTCCCATATGTACATAAAGAAATCGTGGTCGCAGCCTGACCGATCAATATGCCTTTTTCAAATACGTTTCCAGAAATAAAGCCCTAGTTGATGTACTTCCTTCCATAGATTTTTTTTCAGTTGTTTATGTCAGTTTACTACAAAAAAAAAAGATTCAGAGTAGATGGGGTACAACTCTGAGTATTTTTCTAGTCTGGAATTTTTTTATTAATAATCGGTGCTGCCGGGTTCATGCATGCTGCAACTTCCAACATTTCCCCTTATTTAGTTCAGCTTTCTGCAAAAAGGGCTGCAGTTGACACTGCAAAATATGTATTCACCTTCCTGGGTTTCTTCCCCCATCTGTGGCCCAAAAGAATGGAAACCTTTTCGTAGAAATAGCGTATTTATCATCCCTTGATAGTTAATTATAGAACTTGGTACCTATGTGCCTCAGGGAACCCCTGTGATATAACTGGTTATAGAATTTCAGGGTTAGGGTTTTAAGAAAGGAGAAAGCCATGGGAAAAAATGATGGGCTCCATTAAGGAGACTTATGAATCTGGATGCAGAAATATGCCAGGACTGGCATACACATGATTGTAGGAGAATTTATTTTCCAGCACCAATAGGGAATGCATTTTAAGTTATTGCATAGGCTGTATTATGAAAAGTTGAGGAGCACTCTTTTTCTTCCAAAGCTTCAATGCCTTTTGCTTTTGCTTCCATTGAATAAACTCCAACCTCTATTATTTGGAAGCTTAGTATTATGATTTGGGTACTTTTGAGAGTTTAAGGAGCATGTGTTCCTCTTAATTTATGTGTACTCTAGGTTATAGAATTTTAGCTACAGTTTTATGATTGCTGTTCCACTACTTTTTAAAGCCATTGTGTTCTTTGTATGTGCACAAGAGGTGGATGGTCACCATTGGGTGAAAACTTTCAGTCTTTATGTGATCTTGCCTCATCACACAGAGCAGTGGAATATCTGATCATCAAATGCCAGGACCTTGGTTTTTTAAGCTCTGTCCCCTGGCTCTCCATCTTAGTCCCTATTGTTTATAGCCTGTGGATGAAGCAGCGGAAGTTCCTCCTGCATGCTGGACCTAAAGCACAGCTCTGTTGTCTTTGCTTTATGAACCAAAGGCCAATGAGACAATTTCAGGATCTGTTTTAAAAGATGCTGCTTCCATTATTGAAGCAGCAAAACAACATTGAAAAAGAAAAGTTCAGTATTTTCTTCTTAGACTTACATATCCTCTCAAGTAAAGTTTTGTCCTCACAACGAATCCCTAAGGGAGAAATATAGGGAGAAAATATTTTTCCAATTCTGCTTAACTGTTTCTAAACAGACAAAAATAAAATTCAATAAAAGGGAAGTTGTGTCTTTAGAGTTGAGATAACAGATTGCTTCTCTGTATTAAATAGCCTAGAAGTTAAGGGACTGGTCATATTTACCATGTATAGTGTTATGAGCAGTTAAATTTTATGGATATATTTGTAAAAATTGTTCTTTTATATTTCATGTCAAATTGAAAAGTTTATTTCTTCACTGTTGTACCTGTGGAAATACAAGCCATTTTGCAGGGGGGAAAAATATCTTCAAAAACTATTAAACGATTCTCACGCTGTGTGTGGCTCATTGTCTTCAGACTTGGAGTATTCCTTGGGTTCTTAGGACATTCCATAGGAAGTGGATACATTTGATTTTTACATTCTCACGCTGCCAAATTAACCCCATCAGATGAGTTCATTGTTTTATACTTGACAAAATGCATACTTAAGTTTGAGGTCTGAAAAATCCCCTAATTTTCTTATTAAAGAAATTCCATTGGTGCTTACATTACTATTTCTTGTGACATTTTCTCGCTGTCAAATAAATCTTAACTTCCCAGAGAATTTAAATGGACTTGTAGAATTAATGAATTTTCTTCATGTTCATTAGTCATATTGCTACTTTTGTGACAATCTTAATTCACTTTTAACAATGTAATAACGATTGTATAAAACCTTCAAGCCTTAACAAATATGTCTATCCTAAGAAAATATTTGAATTTGTATCTCACTGATACTCAAGAGCTCTTAATATTATTGATCAGAATTATTTCCTAAAAAGGAAACACAAACATAGGCTTTTATTTAGGAGGCAGATGTTCCATTTATGGTGCCATCAATTATAAGGTCTGTTACTGTAGGAAAATACTTGTAAGATTCATCCCATTCCGTAAATGTGCCTAAACTTAGTATGAGGATGGGGAGGGGAGGGCTTCCAGCAAATAAAGCATAGACAAAAAAATATCTACATGCAAAAGATTGAAGTTGGACCTCCCACCTCACACAAAATGCAAAACTGAACCCTAAGTGGGTCCAAGAGTTACAACTTCAGAAGTTTTAAGAGAAGCAGAAATTTTGGAACTTTGCATTAGTTGATGGTTTTTGTTTTGCTTTTGTTCGTGCAGTGCTAGCAGTCAAACTCAGCGCGTGTCATTGAGTGGCCAAGTGCTCTACCACTGAACAACATCTCTAACCCTACTTAATGCTTTCTTAAATAATGTCCCGACAAAAGAGAGAATATGGTGTGTGTTGGAGGGGGTGGGGGAGAGTGAAAAGGATAACCTACAAAATAGGAAATACTTAAAGACAGAACTCCTATCCAGAAGACATAAAGAACTTTTACAACATTGATAACAAACACCCCCATTTAAAAATAGCCAAGGATTTCAACTGATGTTTTTCAGAGAAGATCAATAAGTGGCCAAATAAGCACAGATTATCATGCTCAACATCATTAGCCATCAGGGAAATGTAATTTAAAACCACAGTACCATTTTCTGTCAGCTGGGATGACTGAAGTAAAAGAAGACAGTAACAAATGTTACTGTTGGAATTCCAACAAGGTTGGAATAGTAGAACCCTCATGCATTTGTGTGATTATAAAATGTTGCTTCAAAAGTAAAACATACCATTAACATGTGGTCTATAGTTCCAATCCTACATGTGTGTGTATACAAGAGAATTGCAAACAACACAGAAAAAGTGTGTGAATGTTCATAACAGTACTAACAGCAAAAACATGAAAACTCATGTCCATCAATGGAGGACTGTTTAAATAAAATGTGGCATATGCATACAATGAAATACCTGGCTATAAAATGAAATTCTAATATGTATTTCAACAGAAGTGAATCTTGAAAGCATATTAAAATAAGCCAGGCACAAAAAGCTACAGATTGTGTGTCAAATACAAGGAAATCTAGAGACAAAAAGGTTAGTATTGCCAGGGGTTAAGAAAGGAATAAAGAGCTGGGTGCTGGTAGCTCACATCTGTAATCCTAGCTACTCGGGAGACAGATCTGAGGATTGTGGTTTGAAGCCAGCCAAGGCAGCAAAGTCCATGAGATTCTTGTCTCCAGTTAACTAACAAAAAACAAAAAACCAGAAGTGGAGCTGTGGCTCAAGTGGTAGAATGTTAGCCTTTAGCAAAAAATCTCAGGGACAGATTCCAGGCCCTGAGTTCAAACCCCAGGACCGGCACCAAAAAAGAGAATGGAATAAAAAGTGACTGGTAAGTAACAGTGAATTTGGGGGCATGGTGAAAGTATTCTTTTTTTTCATTGTGCGTGTGTGTGTGTGTGTATATATATATATATATATATATATATATACACATATATATATATATATTAGTGTACAGAGGGCTTACAGTTGCATATATCAGGTAGGTAATAAGTACATTTCTTTTTTAACAATGATTAAGGTATTCTGAACTTAATAGTGATTATACAATTGTGAGTGCATATATATATATATATATATATATATATATATATATATAAGCACCATTAAACTCAAGTTAGTAACTCCTATAGTGTATGAATCCTATCAAACCTACTTTTTAAAAAACATCAATTCCGAGATGTTAGCTTGTGAAAAATGTGCCTTCGAATGGAAATGCAA